TTAGTCGTGTGAATGTTTGACCATTATAGACCATATTCAGCAATTAATACTGCTTACATCTAGATTCTCTTTCCATTGTTTTTGAAGGTAAGAGAAGGTACAAAAAGTTACGACAGCTCTTGGTGCATTTGAGACCCCCATTGACAACATACACAACAAAATGCCAGGACTATACGCCCTCGCCTTTGTACTTCGTCTGCTCATTGAATTGACGACAGAAAATGAATAAAGCAACTCAATGTATTTTTCATTTATGGATTCTTGACGACTGGTTCATCTTCATCGTTTTCATTTAGTCTGTAGCATTTCAACTATTTGTTTCCACTGCGTTGAAGCCTTAGGCTAAAATACAAATCAGACTCCTATGCTAGAGACATCCAGAAAGTTTCTGGCTGTCGATTCAATGACTGCTGCAACCAAATGAATAGATTTCTCAATATTCCAGTATTTGCTCATAAGTGAGTAATCTCTTGCTACAAAATCAAATGGAGTGTTGAAGTCGGAGGCTCAAGATCTACTATTGTAAGGACATGCGAAGGTTCGGCTCAGTTTGCACTCGAAAGGCGAGATCAAGACAATTCAAACTTAAAATTAGTTATTCTGATCTTACCTTACTTCGACAAACTAACGTCTACCGTAAGCTTAAATATGTCTATTCGGCAGAAAAGAAAGATTCCCTGCGAAATATTTTTGTGTGAAATGCTTATTTTTCCCAACTTAAACAATTCATAATGTGTCTTAGAGAACATAATTCGCTCTGCCTTAACATCAAATGTTCTCAATCTTCGTAGGTAACTTCAATGGAAGCATTGACATAAGATTTGGATGTAAAAGAAAGATATTCTCCATTTCCACACCCCCAACTGCTCTGTTGGTTGGCGCTCGAAAAAGGTGGGTAGATACTCTGTTTCCCAAAGTCTGCTGGGTGACACTCTACATAGTAGTCAAATTGATTCTCGACGCAAAAATGCCAAGTAGTTTCATTTTGCTGGCGGAAGTAACATAAAAAAGATAAAGCGCGAAAAAATGGCTGTTTTGACTAACGATCAAACGGTGTAGAGGAATAAGGTACCCATTGGCAGTCCACATTAGAAAGAAACATGTGGGTAGAATTCTACAAATATTGATATGTATATAGTAAGTTCCACTGTGAACTTAGTTAGGGAACTAACTATTTATCCCTGGTGCTTCCCTGCAGCAGTAAGGATGGCTAAAGCAGCTAAGTACACTTACTTGCTTACTGGCTTGTTTAGTTCAACAGCTGCCTCCATCTCGGCCATTACAGACTACGAGGCGGGGCAAAGGAAGACCTGTCTATTTTCTGGTATGTTCTGATATAGTCCAAAGGAAGATAAAAACTGCAACTGAACGTGATGGAACATCAATGATACTATATACTGTCAATGCGAAAACTGGTTTGAACAGGCACGAACTTTGTACTCTAGAAAAAAAATTAGTATTCTTCGCTTCAAGAGCCTTTATCTAGGTCCCACATGCTACAAGCGTGATGGAACGTGATGGAACGTCAATGTATTCATAAAGAAGCCCCGAGGTATCTAGAAGAATTTTTTAAGATTAAAATCTGCAATAATAATTTGAGAGGGTCGGGGACACTTTTAACGTTACCCAATTTCAATCTAGAATGGCGCCATATGTCATTCTCATTTTTAGCAGCAAAACTTCAGAATTCGTTACCTATGTATGTTAGAAACGCCAAGGATATTTCTTCTTTTAAATGTCTTTCAAAGAAGCAAGTTTGTAGAAAGATTTAAGAATGGTAACTTCAAAGTTATTTCTTTTCTTTTCAACGTTTTTCGTTTCACGCACGTTTTTATCACTCCTAGTTGTAGCGTGGGTAAATAAAGTATTGTATTATATTGTATTGTATTGCTAATACATACTGTCAATGCAGAAACTGGTTTGAACAGGCACGAACTTTGTACTCAGCAAAAAATTAGTATTATTCGCTTCTTCTAGGTCCCTCATAAGCCAATTTAAGTGCTACAAGCACTTAAATTGGGTTAAATTTTCCCAGCTCAAACAATCCATAATGTGTCTTAGAGAACATTTATAATTCGCTGTGCCTTAATACCAAATGTTATCAATCTTCGTTGGTAACCTCAATGGAAGCATCGACATATGATTTGGATGTAAAAAAATATATATATTCTCCATTTCTACACCTCCAACTGCTCTGTTGGTTGACGCTCGAAGAGGGTGGGTAGATACTCTGCTTCCTAAAGTCTGCTGGGTGACACTTTATATAGTGGTCAAATCGATACTAGACGCAAAAGTGACAAGTAGTTTCATTTCGCTGGCAGAGGTAGCATCAAAAAGATAAAGCGCGAAAAAATGGCTTATTTGACTAACGATCAGGAAAAAAATTGTATTCTTTGCTTCAAGAGCCTTATTCTGGGTCCCTCAAAACCCAATTTAAGTGCTACAAGCTCAAGTTTATTGCGCGTGACTTGTTTCATCAAGGAGGAGGTCTTCTCAACTGCCATCAAATAGTAGGTGAGGCCACCCACTGTTAAGGAAGTTATATCCATCTTGTTATTGAATTGTTTATAGAAGCATACACTAAAATAAAGAAAAAAAAAATCAAAATTTCACCGCTTCGTAGCCAAGCGACGGTCTACATCAGATAATATGAGGAGGTTCTCAAAAAGGACACTACAATCGTACACTCAGAGCTATATCCTCTTCCAAACGCACGTAGCAAAGACATACTAAAATTGGTGAACCGCCTGTTTTTTGTTTATCTTTGTCTTCTTCTAGGTCCCACATATCCTAATTTAAGAGCTAGAAGTGTGATGGAACATGATAGAATATCAATGCTAATATAAACTGTCACTGCTGAAACTGGTTTGAACAGGCACGAACTTTGAACTTGAAGAAAAAATTAGTTTTCCTCCCTTCAGGAGCATTCTTCTAAGTCCCTCATGACCCAATTTAGGTGCTACAAGCACACGTTGCATGATTTCTCTTTTTTGGCCTACTCATCATCATCGCAGTAGATAGATAGATAGATAGATAACTTTATTTAACAAAGACAAAACGTTCAACCGTTTGCAGGTTTTACACACAATAAAAGATAAACAAGTGCGATGGAACATGGTGGAATATCAATGCTAATATATACTATCACTGCGAAAACTGGTTTGAACAGGCACGAACTTTGAACTTGGGAAAGCATTAGTTTTCTTCGCTTCAAGAGCCTTCTTCTAAGTCCCTCATGACCCAATTTAGGTGCTACAAGCACACGTTGCATGATTTCTCTTTTTTGGCCTACTTATCATCATCGCAATAGATAGATAGATAGATAACTTTATTTAACAAAGACAAAACGTTCAACCGTTTGCAGGTTTTACACACAATAAAAGATAATCAAATAATACATTATAATGTTATTTAAAGAAATCTCTACTTCAACTTTTCAACCAACCCTTAAATATGTCTATTCGGCAGCAAAGAACGATTCCCTGCCAAAGATTTCGGTGTGAAATGCTTATTTTTCCCAGCTTAAACAATCCATAATGTCATGACTGTCGTAGAGAACATTATTCGCTTTGCTTTACTACCAAATGTTCTCAATCTTCGTGGGTAACTTCAGTGGAAGCATTGACATAAGATTTGGATGTAAAAAAAGATATTCTCCATTTCTACACCCCTAACTGCTCTGTTGGTTGGCGCTCGAAGAGGGTGGGTAGATACTCTGTTTCCCAAAGTCTGCTGGGTGGCACTTTTTAAAGTAGTCAAATTGATTCTAGTCGCAAAAATTTCGAGTAGTTTCATTTCGCTGGCAGAAGTAGCATCAAAAAGATAAAGCGCGAAAAAATGGCTGTTTTGACTATCAGGAAAAAATGTGTATTCTTCGCTTCAAGAGCCTTCTTCTAGGTCCCTCAAAAAACGAAAAAATAAGTATAAAAAACTTTTACCATTCTTGAACTTGACCACATATATTCCTCAAGAGCCTTCTTCTAGGTCCCTCATAACCCAATTTAATTTCTACAAGCACACGTTGCATGATTACTCTCTTTTTGCCTACTTATCATCATCGAAATTGATAGATAGAGAGATAGATAGATAACTGTATTTAACGTAAACGTAAATTTATTAAAGCAAACTATGGTAAGTCTTTGTCGTCGGTTTGTTCCTACAGCGTTTTAATAACAAGTGAACCATTTCATACAGACATTCCTCCTAAAACTTGGACACGTTTCAAGCACGAGAAAAATAAATTTAATTAATGAAACAAGCGCGTGACTCACTTGTTTCATCAAGAAGGAGGTGTTTTTAATTGCCAACAAGTAGTAGATAAGGCCACCTAATGTTAAGGGAGATATTTCCACCTTGATATTGAATTGTCTATAGAAGCATTCAGTAACATAAAGAGATTGAAGTCAAATTTCACCACTTCGTAACCACGCGACAGTCTACATCAGATAATAGTTGGAGGTTATCAAAAAGGACACTACAATCGTACACTCAGAGCTATATCCTCTTCCAAACGCACGCCGCAAAGGCATGCCAAGATTGGTGAGCTGTCTGTTTCTTCGTTTATTTTTGTCTTCTTCTAGGTCACACATATCCAAATTTAAGCGCTACAAGTGTGATGGAACATGGTGGAATATCATTGCTAATATACTGTCACTGCGGGAACTGGTTTGAACAGGCACGAACTTTGTAGATTATTGTTCGTTAAAACAAACAAATAAAATAAGTCTGTGCTTACAGCCCATGTAACGACAGGGTCATATTTGAACTAAAACTGCGTTCTAAGAGTGGAAGGTAAAAATTTGTAACCTCCAGAAAGTTAAAAACAAATGCAAATCTATTTCTTAAGGGTGAAGTCCGCCCATTTTTTTAACTGGCTTCCGCATTAACAGTATAATATAAGCGGTGATGCATATCCCATCAGGCACATTTGCAGTTTCTATCTTCACTTTTGATACATCGGAAAAGTAAGGATGTATCGTTGTGTTAACTCATAAGCTGAAATGAACGATTGGAAAGAAGCTGCTGAGATGAACAAGCCGATGGGCAGGTAAGAACTTTGTACTCAGGAAAAAATTAGTATTCTTCGCTTTAAGAGCGTTCTTTTAACAGTATAATATAAGCAGTGATGCATTTCCCATCAGGCACATTGCAGTTTCTATCTTCATTTTTGGTACATCGGAAAAGTAAGGTCGTATCTTTGCATTAACTCGTGCGCTGAAACGAACGATTGGAAAGAAACCGTTGAGATTAACAAGCCGGTGGGCAGGGAAGTACAAGTATTGTGGCCATCCTGTCGCAATAAAAACGAGTAAGATGAACCGTTGCTGTTTAGTCGTTTTCAACGCTTGTTTGAAAGCCTGGTAAAACAGAAACAGAGAGGTTTCATTTTCGAAGCATCGTCAGGTCAATACCACAAGTTTATCTAAACAAAATGTTATCTTGGGAACGAGGCTTTTCTTTTATCCTATCATATAAAAAATTTCCGCTTCTGTCCCCGCCTCCAGGACCAATATATCGTTAAATCAAATTTAAATTGCGGCATCGGCATTCTCTCGATAACTCCAAATATGTCCCCGTGGGTCGGGGGACCGGGGTTTCAATTGCCTGATGTAAATTTCGCTGTAACGTTAGGGATCAACGAACTACCTTGTGAAAGAGTTAATGCATCAGTCTGATTTTCCAAAACCATAGCGAGCCCATTTTGTATTATCTAGCTTCAAGATTGCGCATCATAAAAACGGAAATAAAGGAATAAGTTTCTGTAAACTGCCAGATGGCCGAGTGACATTCGCCTCAAAACATTTTGTCTTAGAACACTTGTCGCCTAACGACTTACTTTCATCAGTGTGCTCGCCACCTAGAAGCTTTTAGTTTCTCCTTTCATCTGCTAAGGCGATCAGATGGGCGCCATCTATTGTCACGTTATATACGAGAAAGCCTGCCTCTTCTAATCTGCCAATCATATCAAGTCATGACATGGTCGAATTGAGAAGATTCATTAAGATGCGCTTATGTTGACAAATGGCGTCGTTGGTGCGTATGATACTTTCAATTTGACTTGGACATCCTGCTTTGTAGTTTCGTCAGATTTCAGTGCGCACACGAAGAAATTTTGGAATGACGTTGGAGTAAGAGAGAGGTTCTTTTTCGAAGAAATATCATCTGGTAAACTCGTAAAACAAAAAGTTTTTTTTTAGAAATAGCTGCGAATACAAGAAGTGCGTTATGACTACAAGAAGCGAGGAAAATTACGTCGGCAAATGTAATGAGATACCAAATGCGGAAAAGGATCTCGTTTATTTCCAAAGGTATAGACACTTTTAATTGATTTTACCTTTTTTGTGGGTTGTTTCAGTTACCCTAAAATATCAGTAATATCTTTTCAATATCAAATACTTCAATTTTGTGCATTGAAACCCAAAATGTACCCGCGATTCACACTTGGTATATATACTTGAGAGGCCATAGGACCGAGACAACTTAGTCGGTAAGTCTGCAACACGGCTAAGGAAAGTTGGTGCCTCAATTTGGCTTGACACGAAGACTCAAAGTGAAAATCTTCGTCTCTGCCACAGAATTTGTCTGATGAAGTATATTCGAGGGATAACTTACATATATTAGTAAAAACATATTTTTATGTGCGACATCATAGCCGTACATAGCGTTGGCCTTAGCCTTAAGTAATAAGGAAACCCTCAAGAGTAAACAAAGGCAAGCTACTACATATAGCAGAAAGTCTTTATATAAGCAGAGTTCTATACCCCATTCACGCCAAAGCTAAAACATCTTTTAAAACTGTTTTGCTAAGCACATATAATCATTTTTTCCCGTAGTGGCTGCTTAAACCAATGTTTGTCAACTTCAAACGTGTCACATTGAAAATAAAAGTTAGCGATTACTTGAATCCAATGGAAAATTCAGTTTTTCAGTTCTATGCTCCTGATTATCAGTCAGTTAAACCCAGTTTCACTAAACATGTTTTGCTGGAATGAATGGGTTGTTAGTCAAGGATACAAATTGAAAGAAGGTCCAAGTCCGACCTTATTGTTCCATATATCCAGTTCACGATACGAGCTGATTCCATGCAATAAAGAAATATTATCGCAACAAGCACTGAAACCACAAGAGAATGATTCTTAAGTTTCTCGTCGATGAAGGTCGCTTGCGATGCGGTCCATTAATATGTTTGTTATGCTTTAAGAGCACTAAGAGTGATCACAAAGTTCCTTGCTACGAATGTGTGTCGATAGCTATATGATGGTCTTCTTTTCTCCGTTTTGTCTTAATCAAAGTCTAAAGCAGCGCGCCCCATCTTTGAAATTATCAAGTAATAAGTCTTATCGGTGTGGTATTTTTATTCAATGTAAAAAAAAGAAACAAACGGAAAAATTGACATCGTCAGAGCATTAACCGGCTATGACTCAACGAAAAAGAACAGAACTTGAAGAGATCTCACATTGAGTCTATAAAAGGATCTTTTCACGTTGTGTTCCTTGTCTGTTTGACTTAATGCGTGAGTGATGCTAAATAGAAGATGGCATCTTTTGTTCATAGTTAACACACGGATATTTCAAAATTTACCAAAAAAGCAGAGCTCAGAAAACGATATTTATTGCGCTATATTTATCTATGCTAGTAAAACATGATATAACTTATCCAAGAATTAATGAACTATAAATTTGTCTCACTGTGAAATAACCATTAATATAAACAACTCAGATGTTCCGTGTGACTTCATGCTGTTAAAAAAATCCTAATTCCACCTAAGTCTTCATAAAGTCATCAGTACTTTAATTTCAAATATTATCATCATAACTTCATCCTTTAAAAGTAAGGGTAGGGGCTAGTAACCTTACCACTTACATTCCTGAGGAGACACACTAAACCAACTACAATAGCTACACTGACTACATCATGCATGTTCAGTAGAGATACTGAGTACACCAACTGTAGGAGATACACAGATTATGTCAAAAACAGCTTTACTGATCAATCTTTCCATAACAGCTTTATTGACCACATGAATAAAATACATCATCACTAAATGTTTGTAGGTACGCCAACTTCAATTGTCACACTAACGTTACAAAGTGCAACCATTACACTATCTAAAGCAAGTACAAAAGCTTCAATTATGATAAGAAGTACAACAGTTACACTGGGTACATCACTAACAGCAGCTTCTTAGGCTATACCATGCACAGTAGTTACGCTTACCTTTAGAGTAGTAAGGGTGTTTGTTGAAGTCAGTGTAGCCAGCGTAGCTGTTATGTTTGGTGTAGGCAGTATTATAGTAGTTTTACTGAAGCAGTGATCGTGGCTTTCGTTTTTGGTATAGCCAGTGTGGTTGTTATGTGGTTGACGCACTCTTTGCAGATGTTGTAGTTGGTTAAGTCAGTACTTTCCGTAATGGTGTATTCAGCCTTTTCCATACTATTCCAGCAACTAGTCTACCAGCTTTTCTAGACTCGTGAAATGACACAGAAGATAGAGAATGGATACTACTTATATTAACTGAAAGTATAACACTAATAACACTCTTTACCCTAAGTAAATTAGTGTCACCAAACAACCTCACCTACTGTATATGTACTTATCTGTATGGATTTGTTTGTCTATTTGTGATGGTAGTCATGACATCACTTTTCTTGAGTTACTACCACAAAACTAGTTAGCAATTTCCTTTTAACTATATTCATAATCCATTTAAAAGTCCCTTTTGATCTACATGTTATTTTTAGACGCTCCAAAGGTTACCAACTCATTCCATGTCTGCTCTGGTCATCCCTCTGCAATTTGTATTTGAGCCTTTTGAAACGCTTCTTTGGTTGGTACTGTGAAAGGATTGCCAGACATCCTGCGAGAACAATCCAAATATGCATCATATTCATCAGTATCTGTTCTGTGGGTTTTGTGTGGTTCCATTCAGAAAAGAGAGCAGTAAAATTGTTCATCCCTCAAAGCAGTAGAGCCATAGACGACTTGGAAAGTGCTGAGAAATACTTTCGAGTCGATTTTCGAGAGGAAATCATCCTTTTAGCGGCATCACCTGGTCATCCTAACGTTCTTTCTCCTAAATGTCTGAGACAAGCCTTTCAAGCTCATAATGCAGTTATGGGAATTGAATCTTATTCTCACTTCTGCGTCACACTGTCTGGGAACAAATCCAAGTCCTTAAACGATTGTATGATGATCAACCCACTGGAATTTCTACAGTTCAATGAAAGCAAAGTGAGCAGCGATAACATTGAACTGGTTCAACAGGAACTGAACAAGGCTTACAATAACACAAGTTCACTTATGCGGAATGGACGCCCATTCTGGTTAAACTTCGACCGAATGTTTGGAGATGCGAGTCGAAATCAAGGAAGCATAACAGGCGCCAAAGCATTGCAAATGATTTATCTCCTCCGTAATCCCAAGGATAACAATGCAAATGAAAAGGTTCTTCAATGGGAAAAGACTTTCGTAGATAAACTGGCCTCATTGGTAGACGAACTGTCATGCTTCAAAGTCCATTATTCAAGTGAAAGGAGCCTGGATGATGCCATAGGTGAAAGCACTGGGTCTGATATCAGTCTAGTGTCAGTCACTTTTAGCCTCATGATTTCTTTTGCTTGCATCATGCTAGGAAAGTTCTTGAATCCGCTGACTGGCCATTCCCTACTTGCCAACGCAGGAGTGTTTGCAGTGGCCCTGGGTATTTCAGCCGGACTTGGCCTTGGTATGTGGTTCCGAGTTCCCTTCCTCAGTATCGTGGGAATAGTGCCTTTCCTAGTTCTTGGAATCGGCATAGATGATATGTTTATCATGGTAGACGAGCTTGATCGACAACCACGTGAGCTGTCGACAACTGAGAAAATCAAAGCAGTTATGAAACATTCAGGAGCAACCGTCACCATGACAACTATGACAGACTTAGTTGCATTTGCAGTTAGTACATCTTCCTCATTTCCAGCAATCAGGTAAGGCACTTATTTAATGATTACAAACACCTTTCGAGAGCCTAAATTTTTTTCATAAGCATCAGGGAATGTAAACACATACCATTTCACTTTGCTAACAAATGGTCTTCGATTTTCAAGTCTAAAAACCTTAAACCGCTTCACTCTGGCAGAAACAGCCCAGTCCTTGCTTTAAAGAGAGGAAAGGTTGAGTTCTTCTTTTGGGTTCATTTTAGTGAAAGAGTTGTTAACCTAAACTCATTGTCATCACAACAGCCAATCAGAACAGATGAAATAATTATAGGGAGCAAAAACAGAATTCAGAGCGAAATTAACAGTGAGTGAATAAATCACAAGTAAACTCAGTTTTGCTTCTGATTGGAATAGAGGCTGGTGTAAGATTTCACCCCAAAGGGAGAGCTCAATAATCACCAGATTACTCTATATGTAAGGAAAAAGCATCTCAAAACTTTGAAAAGCATCTGAAAACTTACAAGGATAATTCTTTTAACAATCAAGAGCTTCTTTGGTTGGTGATCATTTCCTTTATTTTCGTGACCTTCATGTGTGTTTCAAGGGTGATAATAAAGGGAAATATTAGATGCTGGTCACTTTAGGGTAGAGGGTTAAACAAATATTTATAGTGTTGAAAGAAAGAAGAGGATTTCAACTGACCTGAAGAACTTAGTTTACCGTTACAAACAGTAAAATCTGTCCCTCTAAACACCCATGAACACAGACTCAGTTCTGGGTAGAGGCTCAGTTACCAATTGCTTGGAAAAATTTTCCCAATCCGATAGGATTTAGGATCATTTGACTTGCTATTGACATCTCAATACTTTTTTATGTAGCAAGGTGAAATGATGTGAACAGTTAAAGTTTTTTTCAGATTTTCCTCTACATTTAAATTTATACTAAAATAATTTCTTTCATAGGTATTTCTGCACCTACGCTGCTCTGACAGTGACATTTTCCTTCCTGATGGTTGTCACATTCTTTGTTGCTATTATGACATATGACGTGAGACGAATTAAATCCGGACGCAGAGATTGTATCCCACTTCTCCTGGCGCCCCGACCAAAAGAGGGTATGCCAGCCTGGGAAGAACCTCTTCCACAGACTTCTAATCGAGTTATGAAATATTGGGCCACATTGTTGATGCTTCCAGTCACAAAAGTTGTGGTCATACTATTGTCACTGACATTGCTTGCTGCTGGAATATATGGGGTCACCCAGGTGGAGGAGTCTTTTGATAGGCGCATACTGGCCAAAGATGATTCTTACTTGAGGCAATTCTTGACAGCTCAAAACAAGTACTTTCGAGGTGGAATAGAAGTGAATCTTGTAGAGACTGGTAAGGTTGATTACAAGCTAGACTCAACCCAGGAAAGCATCAAACAGCTAACAAATATCTTGATTGAAAATGAATATTATCAGAACCGATCATTATCCTGGATGGACACATTTTCTCAGTATGCCAAGATGTCTAAGAAAAACATTACTGGCTCAGGATTTCTACGCGAACTAAAACAATTCCTCCAAATTCCCACCTTCTCTTATTACAGGCAGGACCTGAGGTTTTCAGAGGACGGAAAAAAAATAGACGCTTCTCGTGTCATTGGTTTTATGAAGAGTTCCAGCAGCTCCACTTTCCATAAGAATGCAATGCTCACACTCCGTGAAGACATTGAAAAGAAAACAAACCTGGAGGCCTCTCCAATAGTTCGATATTTCATATTTTTTGAAATGTACGCCATGGTGACAAAGGAGACCATACGAAACCTGATTATATCAGCCTTAGCAGTGTTTATTGTCACAAGCCCCTTTTTAGCAGACTGTACGGTGACGCTCCTAGTGGTGTTAAACTTTACGGCCCTGGTTTGCGAGTTGTTCGGTTTGATGGTAATCTGGGATGTGCCTCTGAACTCTGTGTCCATGATAAACCTTGTTATGGCTATTGGCTTTGCGGTTGATTACAGTGCACATATTGCCCATGCCTACATAACATCAAACAAGGCAACTGCTAATGAACGAGTAGTGGATGCTCTGACTACACTGGGTGCAAGTGTTTTTATGGGAGGTAAGTCAGGAGCTCAATTACTTATTACAAATTTTGTGTTTTGAAAAATAAGAAGCCTCCCCCACCATCACAAAAATTTCTTCTGTCAGCATCTTATTCCATAGAGCTGATTGACATGTGCTTCACAAGACACACAGCTTTGATATTTCTGCAGTGGAATCATGTGTACTTGAAGCATCTGTTGGTTGAGTATTGGTTGATACCATTGGCTGACATGTTGACTGAGTGTTGGCTGTTACATTGGCTGATACACAACTCACATACTGACGGAGTAGCGGCCGATGTTGACCGAAATCGGTGGCCTCTCAACCAACACGCATGTCAAACGATACTTGGTAGATATGCTGCTGATACTTTACCCACACACTCAGCCCACACTACTTTCACTTGATCTGCTCTTGTTAGTAGGTTCTATCTATTCTACTTCAATGTTTACTTATTTTCTCCGTCCTAAGTCTTTGTTAGCGTAATATATGGCTTAGGGGAAGGAACTAGGACAGCTACGATTCCAGCAAAACAATGATTAACAATACACATATACCACCCCCAGTACACCCATATGCCACCGACTCTCGACCAATATGCTGCTGACTGTTGATCGCAATGTACTGGTTGAGGTGTCAGACGAGTGTCAACCAACATATAGACCTAGTAGAGACTGATAGTGGTGACCACCAATCCAGCTGGTATCTAACATGGCAATCCAAAGTTGGCTGACTATCGGTCAACGTGTCTGTGGAGTATCGACTGACTCACAGTCGATATGTCAACCAGTAATATTGGTCGATATTTGGCTAACAGATGCCTTAAGTACACATTATCCCTGTATTGTAGCTGAATTAACATTCTATAAATATAGCCATCAATGTTGGTTCTTTTTTTCAAATCAGATTTCTTAAGAATAGGATTTATAGTTAGAGCATTTTTTCAGATACACTGGTGCATGATTTGAAAGGGTTCTAAATTTACCAGCACTGTGTATGTCATGAACTCCTCTAGAGATTTCTTTTTTGTCTGATGAAGGATTCAGTACCTTCCTTGGTATGGTTGTGCTTGCTTTTGCTGCTTCAGAGATTTTCCGCATATTCTTTCGAATGTTTTTTGGCATCGTTGTGCTTGGCCTTTTTCACGGCTTGTGTATCCTGCCTGTTTACATGTCCTTCCTCTACTGGAGACCTGCTGTTATCACAACTCTCTCGGTGAGGGACACTTCTGGTGAACATGGAGAAGGAAAAGCATTAGAAAATTCCACCAATGACTTTCAGGATGATAAACCAGCCAGCCAAAAGAAAGAAAACGTTGCTGTTGAGATAGGAATTAAAAATTTGGAGATTGAAGAAGACAGAGACGAGGTTGAGATGAATGCAAAAGAAGGTAAAATCAAACAGCCCTATAACTAACTCAAATACATTTCATGTCGCTAAAAATTAAGAACCAAAGACATAAAGTAATGACATTGTTACCAGTATTTCCATCATCTCTACAGATAGCGCTGAGAAGACTGAGAACTCAAGCAACTACAACCCAGCCAACCAGCAGACAGGAAGAGACCCTGTTGTTGGAGGAATGCAGAACAAGGAAAGTGAAGCTGTCAGAGGCACGTTTGCCATGAATTTAACAGGAGAGGTTTGAATGAAGATAGGTATTCTTGGACCAAAAAAGAGCCCGAAATTACATCACTTTAAATTTGCTACTACCAGCTAAACCTTACTAGACAACGCTGCAATTTGAATCTGAAGAAGGTTGAAAGCTGGAGTATTAAGAGTGTAGAATGTTAAGCTGGCAATTGACAAGATGCAGCTGTAGCAATAAGCTTAAATTGAAAATCTGTGTAGACATTTTGTGACAATTTGCCAAAATTGCTTAGTTAGTGTGAAACTTTGGGTATTATACTTTTGGAACTTAAATAATTCTATTGGAAAACCACAGTTCAGTGACCATTCATTAGTAGGAAATTGTGAACAACGACTCCCTGAAAAGACAGTTTGCTGACAGTTGTAAGCACACCTATTGGCCACGGTTGATCTGTTGGTTATCTGTCTGTAAATTGACAGTGATAATATTACTGTCAGCTGACTGTTGGAAGACAGGTGTGCTTAAAACTGTTGACTAACAGTCACTGACTCTTGGCCAACAGTCCGCTGACAGTTGGTTGACCAACTTTATACCAACTGTCAGCCAACTGTTGACAGACTGTTGGCCACCTGTCAGCTGACTGTCAACCAAAAGATTAAAGCACAGTTGTCATATGACATTCAGTAATCTGTTATTGATATGTCAGTAAGTTGTCGTTAACAATACTATTGTATTACAACATTTATCATCCAAACTTCAGCGGATGTAGAGGCTACATTGGATGGAGAGTTTAGGCCCCATTTAGCGCCAGTACTTACATGAGTTGCAAAAATACTGGTGTTGCAATCTGCCATATTGGAAAGTTATGAAGACCCCATGAGTTCACTAAATGCAGTTTGCACGTGACGAACTGATAAATGTATTTTAGAGCAGACAAATAAAGAGGGAGCATGAAGACATGGTTGATCAGTACAGTCAAAGTTTTGTTTTAGATGCTAATTTGCGGGTATATTGCCAATTTGTAACCTTTCTATAGCCTGTCAGTGGCCTGTTGGTTATTTTCCTGTCTGTTTTTTAGGGAGCTGTTCTTCATCATTACCCATTTGCAGCTTCTTGATTTCTAATGTCCAACGCTTTAGTTCAGTTAGAGTTGTACTTCAATACTCAATTGCATTTTGTTCTGGCTTGTGGTTAATTAATTTGTGAACTTCATTGTAGCTTTGTAGAACATTATTGTTGGTCAGATTTTGTTATCCTTATAACCTGATTTTGAATACCAAGAAAACAGTTTAAGAACCCTTAATTGCAATAACATTGGAAAAAAATACCATAAACATGTACATTATACAAGTACATCTTTGCAAATAATAGACCTGAATCCTCAAGGGCAAGGAACTATGTGGTGGAAGGATTATAAGGCTTGCATGCTGCTTTGGTCAGATTTATGATAGGTGCAAGGAGTCTGTAATGAGGAAAATATTATACAGGAAATATGTATCATTAAAAATGTTTTTCCAAGTGAAAAAACTGCCATTCATGTTTTGCATCAGTTTTATATCAAGTCATTTGATGTAAGGGCAATTTGTGACGTAAATTAGTACCTTTAATACATTCAAAGTATAAGCAAAATATTCAAATAAAAATAGTTAAATAACATTTTTCACTATAAATATATGAAAATGGATTTTAAGGACTACTATCCTTCCTGTTATGTCACCATTCCACATGACAAATAGCAAGTTAATTCTCACTTTCTGATAACTGGCCCTTTAAATTTCCAGTGTTTCTCCAAAGACCTCATCCGTATAAAATTCCTGTGATTAAAAATCAGCAGAGCTACCATCTAATCCAGAAGTAAAATGCACTCTGAAACTTAAGTATGAATATAGCACAATTACAAATGAAATTCAATTTAGGTCAACCAATACATGTATGCGATCAGGCAGTTATATTATCTAAGCTGATTTTAAAATGTCATATTGCATGGGCCCAAGGGCAATTCTTATGCCATTCAAAATAGAAGTACAATTCATTCTTTACTGCCAGAGGGAACTTGAAATTACTTGACTGTTTATCAAACACAGGTTAACTTTTAGAAAGAATATTCATTCAGGCATTAATCATATGCCAAGCATATCCAGGAAGCCCACTCATAGCCAGACTAAGTGACAATTAATCATCTGAACCAACCAATTGACTTCATGAACATTCTATTCTCAAAATACAACAAACATACTGACAAAATCTTATTTGGTTTAAGTTCAAGACAGTAGAACATTTCCACCGACAAAAATATGGTGCTTATTTATTATTGTACTAACCTGAACAAAGTAAGCTTAATCAGAGTTAGAATCTTGGAGAACGATCAGTCCTATTATACCTTAATTTTCTTGGACTGACTGAGACTAAATTGTGATGAATGGTCTTTGGTGATGTGAAGCATCAAAGTTGTACACTTCTGCATCTACAAGAGAGAAAGGAGAGTGGTTGAAGTACTTGTCTTGCATTCAAGAGGCATTATCAACAAATCGGATGCCACTCTCAACTCATTTGCATTAACCAACTCATGGTCTGGACTGAAATAATCCCTAAAAAGAATTCTGAGGAACTTGATCTTGTAAGTAAGACTTAATTACTGTTGCCTCAAGAATATCATACCTTACACAAGGGTCGATATTTGATTGCTTCATCACTGTTCACCTTTTAACTCCCAATAACTAATTGTTAATTCTCTCCTCTAGCTGCTACAAATTTCTTTGTGAATTAGTTCAGAGAATTTGGTGTTGGATCAAGACAAAAACTTCAACCTGATAAGTTTGAGGATTCTCATCACCTTTCTGTTGTATAATGTATGGATATGATAAGGAGAGGTTACATGTTAGTCACTCCTGGGAGTTTCAGGGTTAAACCTTCCTCTAAACTCAATTGTTGCTGGTGATGCCTTCTAGAAAACCACTCAGGGAAAGCATCCAGAACTCTGGGTCCTGGTTTGATGTTCATTGGTGCATGGATGGTCGATTATCCTTTAGATCTAAAGCAACACTTTTACAAACTCTATACAGCATCAGACAGATCAGAAAATTCCATTCCATGCAATTAACAAAAACTGGTTCATGCTTTTGTATCTTTGCACCTTGATTACTGTAATGCACTCCTTTTCAGTCTTCCTCAATATCAACTTGATCCTTCACGTAAAGTTTCGAATGCCACAGCTAGTTATTTTCCAGATCAACAAATTTGACCATATCAAACCATCTCTTGTCAACCTGCACTCGCTTCCACTATCATTCAGAATTGTTTAAATTGCCTTAATTTGCTTTCACACCATTAAACAATCTAACTCAACCCTTCATTACATATCTGTTTTCAATTAAACCTGCCTCTGACACAACCTCTTCTGTTCATTCCAAGGGTCAAATGATTGCGCCTTCACTCAAGCTGCAAACTGCTTTATGGAACTTGTTGTCCCTTAATCTATCAGAACTTGCACCAGCCTTGCTACTTTTGAGAAACAAGTTGATCAAAACATATAAAATTTTTGGCAAGGCTTTTGGTAGTAGTTTGTCATTCTGAATGCAATGTAAATATTTACAGCTTTTAGCACTATACACTATAAAATTAATTACTATCATTATTAAACTTTCAGGTGCTTGTAGTTTGATCTTGGAAGCACACATACATGCACATGTCTGTAAAGTGATTTTGATTTCTCCCTTTCCTGTACACAATTAAAGGAAATTGGTCAAGGAAACATTAATTCCTAGTTCTATGTCATGCAAGATATTTTGAGCCCCAAGGCACTCTTGTTGACCATAGAGGAGTGTTCATGAAAATATATTAACATTCAAGCAAGCAGATTTAACAGTTTGACTGCTTCTGTCTTAAGATTTAGTGGGAGACAGATGCATAGATGATGTCATCATTAACAATTTTTTGGTCCTTCATTGAATGAAAGAAATTAATTCCAAATTGCTGTGGATGCACAAAGTAGTAGATCACAAAGGATATCAAAATGAGGTAAGAACGTCAATGACATAGTCAGCTCCGCATCATGTGCCACTTTTTTGTTCTTATCATATTTTGATATCACCTGTGATCTTTTACATACTAAGCAGATGCACAGAAACATTATAGACAACTTTAGGTGAGTTGAGGCAACTTGGGTAGAATAAGGTGACTTAGGCAACTTTGAGCAACTTCAGGTAACTCAACACACACACCCACATAGAACAAACCAAACAAAACATTTCTGACAATCACTGAGATCCATGATCCAAACTTTATCACTTCAAGATCCAAAATCTGGGCCCATCAAATTAATGAAAACCACAAATTGCTGCAATTGCAGAATATGCAAATGCACTAAAATTTTGATCTGAATCCAAAATCTGGGCAAAAATACTGCTGATCCCTAGGCCTATTCCTCCCCTCTGCAAGATTAGAATGGAAAATCAGCAAAAGGGCAACAAGAACTTAAGCAAAGGGAGAGTGCTTAGGGATGTTGAAGATTTACAAGGATTGCACAGATGAACTTCACTCTCTTCCTCCTTGGGTAGCCAAGATTAGCTCAAAAATAACTTTTCCCTGTTTTCTATTCACAGCAACCATGAAATCTGAGAATTAAGACCCAATAGTGAGAAAATTAACTTAAATGAATCATTATTATGAGTAACCTTAAACCCTTTGAAAATGATCTTCACATATGCTGAAAATTTGATGCCCCTATTTTGAATTTAGCTCAGCAACCCTGCTGCTTACTTGTGACCCAAAATAGTCCCACTGACCTTTCTTCCATTTCTTGACACACTCTTTGAACAGAAAAGGAGCTGGAAAAAAGCCACCCTTCATAATCAGGGTAGCTACTATTTGCAAGCCATGCATTACTGTTTACTTGCATACTGAGGTTAATGAGTTGTTTCAAAAATAGTTACTTCCTTTATAAAATGTTATAATGCCCCTGGAGTCTAGTTTTGAAGGTTCCTATTGCTTCTTGGAATGTTAAATCCCTGAAGAAATATCCTTATTAGCAGTTCCAGCAGACTCCCTTTGGTGCCCTG